GTTCTCGTGATTTATAAGCAGGCGCGGACGCCGCAGTATTTATCTTGCTTTCCGCGAGTTTTCCAGAAACTTTTTCCATACGTCAAATTGAGGCGAGCTTGTGAAGAAAATTTATTTTAAAATTTTCTTTTTTGGAGCATTTGTTAAAAACTTCTGAATTATTTAAAATATGTAAGTGAAATTTTAAGTGGTTTCATTATTTGGTAAAACTTGTTTTCGTTTTGTCAGCAGGTACCAATTCATGCGTTTTTTCCTAACAGAATAGCTATTTTTGTAGTGTTTTAGTAAATAAAGTCGTTTAATAAGTCGTTGATGTTTGTTGATAATTTTGTCGTAGATTAAAAAAAAAACAAATATTCATATCATTCTTACAATCCCCTGAATAACATAAATTCTTAATTCTTTTAAGAGTGCGCGCGTGCTTGTTTTGTAAGACATTTATTACCATTAGTTTTGTTTTTTTTTGTTGGGTAGTTTTATTATAGAACAAGCTTCGATTACTTATCAGACCTCATTTTAATAAATAATATTGTATCTTTAGATTTTACAACTGACACTAAAATAATTAAATGACGAAAAAGAAGATGCCTGTGGATACTCCACCATACCATTTCCATCTTGAAAGGGTTGTATTTAAAATGTAGTGATTATATGCTCTTTGGGTTTTATTTTAAAAAAGATGTTGAAGTTTGACAAACGAAATTTTAAATTTTATGTCGTAGAATAAAGAGATTTAATTTCATTTTAGTATCCCTTGGTCGATAAGTAATTATTTGATACTAATAGGTATAATAGCTATGATTTGGAATGAAACTAATTTTAAGGATTTTATCGCGTTTAATTTCAACTTTTTTAATTCCCGATGCTTCGGGCATTTTACAGAAACCTTGGTCACGGGGGACTGAGGTGTTTGACGTCCCGATGGCATAGTTAACGAAGACTACCTTCAATTTTTAATTATTAATGTTTGATTCGATCTACGCAGAACGAACTTACAGTGTCTTGACGTCTTGCTGTGGTATGCTTGTGTTTGGATTTAATTTTATTAATAATGGGATCCCAAGCAGATGGTAGCACCCAGTCATCTTCTCTATTGAAATTAGGATGTTTTTAGGGTTCCGTACCTCAAAAGGAAAAAACGGAACCCTTATAGGATCACTTTGTTGTCCGTCTGTCTGTCTGTCTGTCTGTCAAGACCCTTTTTCTCAGGAACGCGTGGAGGTATCAAGCTGAAATTCGTATAAAATACTCAAGTCTACTGTCCCTTGGAGCTGTGAAAAAATCAAACTTCTAAGCCAACGCGATCAAAAGATACAGCCGTTTATGCCGCAAATTTTCGACATTCGTAAGGGAATCAAAACCTACAGGGTACTTCCCGTGAACTCAGAATCTTAAAATTTGGTATGAAGCAACGTATTATATCACAAATAAAGGAAAAAATTGCGAAAAGCATAAATATTTAGTTACATCATATAATAAAAATAAAAATATTTTTAATAATTTTAAACGTATATACCTACGGATTTGTTCAGAACCCTCGATGCGCGAGTCCGACTCCCACTTGGCCGGTTTTTTTTAAATTTCAATAACCTAGAGAATCATCCTTGGTAGGAATCAGTATTCTTTTGCAAGGATTTGTGATTTTTCAAATCTGATATAATGGCTGGGACAATCTATTTTTTTTTATAAAAAAGAACGTTACCCCCACACTAGGATTTTCTCCTGTGTCGTGGAGGCAGTTTACAAACATAAATTGCACAAGGACAAACATCCAGACCCGGAACAATTATTTGTAGGCCATACAAATACTTGTTCCGTGCGTGATTCGAACCCGCGGCCCCCAGCGCAACAACTGATTGCTATGCCACTGCGCCACGGAGCCGTCGAATCCTGAAGATGTTGACATACTACAGACTTACAGGAGCGTTGGTGCTTCACATCAGCGATATGTTCTTTCTTGTGGATCTTATCCACTGAAACGTCCATCAAACGTCCAAAATAAAAGTAGCGTTGTACGTCCTGGATACTATAGTATCCAGAGCATCAAGTTTTATAAAACTGACGTCTAGGGGACAGTTGCGATTCTTTTTGTGAGTTTTGTTTGTTTAATCGATAGCTGACGAACTACTATGATGTGATCTTCGTTGTATTATATATTTTATGTTTATATATTTTTTTATAGGATAGGGTGACAAACGAGCACACAGTCCACCTGATGATAAGTGTTTGCTGTGACCCATAGACATCTACATCTATCCTCATGCAAACAATGATAACATATGCTTAACTAGGAAAAAAGATTTATGTGAAATGTTAGCGGCAGCGTTGTTAATATTCTCTATGTTTCGCAAAATTTATAGATTTCTCTAAAAAGCAGACCGGCGCGCATGTTATCTTTTGCATAGAAAATATTGTATTCTTACATCTATATGTGAGTTAAAGAAGTTTTAGATTTATAAGCTTGCATGGGACGTGCCGCTGTGTTTATCATGCTCTCTACGAGCATTCTGGAAAGTTTTTCCATTCATCAAGTCGCGGCCATCTAGTTCCGCTATTTTGCTTTGTGTACAAAGTTTCTTTTCCCTAGTGCAATTGTCTGAATTAATGAAATTGATTATTGAATAACCGCACTGGCTATTTAAATTTCTCACTTCGACAGCGTCTTTTTGAGAGATGTTATGGAAATAGATATTTTTTTAATTGAATATAGGCTATGAATAATACTTATTAAAAGTCATTCTTATATTTTATTTACCACTGGTATCGGGAAATACTTGTGTCTTTGGAAGAATCAGCGAGAATACCAGTCGGACATATAAAAAAATAAGAACAGTTTACGTTGATTGATTACGTGATATTTTAAATCAACGGCTCCGTGGCGCAGTGGCTTAGCAATCAGTTGTTGCGCTGGGGGCCGCGGGTACGAATCCCGCACGGAACAAGTATTTGTATGGCCTACAAATAACTGTTCCGGGTCTGGATGTTTGTCCATGTGCAATTTATGTTTGTAAACTGCCTCCACGACACAGGAGAAAATCATAAATAATAAAAAAAAAAACTTGTATATACTGTATTTCGTATAAACGACGATCTAAATACAAGGTACGAGGACATCTAGTAGTCAGTCTGGGTAGGCACCACACACCTATTACTGTCGCCTTATAGAACCTGTCTAATTACAGGCTTAAAGAAGGAATGCTTTAATTCCTTCTTTATTCATATTGGCTGTGGCAACTTTGTATGTTTGCACAACAAAAAATAGGCGAGCCTTACAGTTGTCGCATAATATGACGTGTAACATTAATCCTGAACGAAAGGTGTTTTTTTTTTTAATCAAAGTTAAATATCAGTTGAGCAGCGACAGAAATTAACCTCTAAATTTATAAAAGCTAAATACTGAAACATTTATTCGAGTAATTACTCATTATTTTTACTTGCATTTTTATCAATGATCTGCACTTTGCAGACATTTATTATCAACAGCAAATACATTATTTAATATAGTTTACACATATAAATTAGTTTATATAACAGCACACTTTACTACTACAACCGCGCGCGCTCATTGGTCACATCAAATAGTGCGCGCTTCCCCGGCTTCCTGTTACACATTTCCGTCCCTTTTCACGAAATCACTCCACAGATTGCGGGAAAGCGAGAGGAAAGATGTTACACATCAAAAATTAAGGCGATGGCTCATCCCCTGAGGTACCATGGAAATCAAGATGATGAGCGCCAAATTATCAAATTGTGGAGCTACTAGGGAGTAAACACTGCAGGATCGCTCGCTGATTTAAATGCCAATTTTAGTCTCCTCATCAGACTGCTCTGCCTCTATATCATTTTGTTAGCCTGTTTGATGAAGTTCTTTGCCCTGTGGTGGCGGCCAAATCGCTTGCGTGACAGTTAAGGTAAATTCTTTCTACAATAGAGGAGGTCTATTACTAGCAGTTGACTCCTACAGGCTGCTCCTTTCGATGATAATACACATGCACATACATATATATGTTTGACGTATACTGCTGGGCGACCAGCTCGCTATTGCTCGGTATTAGAAAAATATTTTTTTAGTGTTGACACACACACACACACACACACAAACACACACACACACACACACACACACTCACACACACATGTATATAAACTTGGAAAGTGAAATATTAATCCTTAGAGCCGTTTCCGATAAACTAATATCTCATACAAGAATAGTCATCACTTCATTATAGGCATCACGGCTAATTAACACATAGTTACAGTACCGGCTAAATACGCGCTAATTAGATCATAGATAAAAGGTAAAAATGTCAAATATAAGAAATATATGCCTAAATTTTGTATGTTTAGTTAATATTTTTGAGGATTTAGTTCAGTTAGGGTAACTGCTATAGTAATTGGCCACGCTATAGTAACTGGCCACTTACAACAAAAGAGGTAGAAACAAGGTATTGCGAGCAAGTCCATGAATGAAAAGGACAAAATATATTCCTGTATCTATTGTATTTTCGTTTTAGTTTATAAAATGTGACCTAGATGGCGTTATACAACATTCGAATAGTCAGTTTGAAAAAGTTGTGACAGATGTGGGTGGTTTGTTAAGAAAAAAATAAGGTAAGAGTCTTGGAATATTTTGATCTGGTGTACAACTTACTTTTCAAGTGCCTAAATATTATGTGTTTCTATTAGTATATTAGGTGAAGTTTAATTCTGTGTAATTTTAAAGTTTGCAAGTTTGTTAATAACCTTAAATGTTTACCGGCTAATAATTAAATTCAAATTTGGTTGGATTTCAGTTATTGGCCTTCACTGGCCAATTACTAATTTTTCATTATATGTTTTTTCAAAGCAGTTTCGACTTTATAAGGGTATAATATACCGTATACAAAAATTATATTGTTCTAAATTCAAAGAATCAGTTATTAGCCGGGGTGGCCAATAGCTGACAAGTAACGTGGCCAATTACTAAATACTTTTTTTTATTTCTTTCAGACTGCTTTAACATGCCAAAGATACCGCAATATACCAAAGAACAAGTAGACAAAGCTTTAGAAGACGTTAGTCAAGGTATATCAGTTCGTACATCAGCCAAAAAATATGGTATACCTAGAGCAACACTACAATTTAAATTGAAACACCCGGATAGCAAGAGTGAATTTGGACCAGAACCCTACTTGACTAGAGAAGAAGAAAAACAGTTAGAAGAATGGCTATGCGATATGGGCAAAAGAGGGTTTCCTAAAAATGCCGAAGACATACTAGACTCTGTTCAAAATTTTCTGAATAAAAACCCCAGAGAGACTCCATTCAGCAAAAATAGACCTGGAAAAGGGTGGTTAAAAGGTTTTTTAAAACGCCATCCTAGGATAACTAAAAGAACGTGTGAAGCTGTTACGCAGGCGAGTGCATGTGTATCCGAATCTGACATCAGAAACTGGTTTGAACAAATCAAGGATCAGATAAACAACTCTAATCTAACCCATATTTTAGATGATCCTTCCAGAATTTTTAATGCTGATGAAAGCGGTTTTCAAACCTGTCCATCTACCGGAAAAGTCTTTGCTGAAAAAGGAGAGAAGAATGTCTACATTATTAATAAAGGAAAAGCCAAAGAAAATATGACAGTACTGTTTACAATATCTGCTGATGGACAGATGGTGTTGCCTACGATTGTGTACCCCTATCAACGTTTACCAGAGAGAATCAAACAAACTGTACCTGATGACTGGGGTGTAGCAACTAGTAGTTCAGGTTGGATGACGGCGGATACATTTAAATATATTATCGAGCATGTTTTTCACCCTTTTTTAGTGAGAAATAACGTTCAGCTACCAATTTTGTTATTTGTTGACGGACACAAATCTCATTTAACCTACGACCTAAGTGTACTAGCTCGCTCTCTTCAAATAGAAATATTTGCTCTGTATCCAAACGCCACTTGGATTCTTCAGCCAGCTGATGTGTCACTATTTAGACCTGTAAAACAGTTCTGGAAATTGGCAGTTAGAGAATGGCTGTTTGAGAATATTGGTGAAGTTGTTTCTAAGCAAAATTTTGCTTTCGTTCTAAAAAAAGTTACTGACAAAATTAGTTCTGCCAGCATTGTAAATGGCTTTCGAGCTTGCGGCCTCTACCCTTTTGATCCAAATGCTGTCGATTATTCTAAATGCTTAGCCAAGTCAGTATCCAGATCTGAAGATACTGTACGCATTTCAAATAATGAACCAGAAAAATCATTATCACTGACAAAATTTTCAGAAATCGTAGGCGCAGAGATGATTAATAAATTTAAAGACATTAAAAATATAATGCAAGATGTGCAAAACAATGAATCATTTTTCATTCTTTATCAAATATGGAACTTTTATCATTCGAATACTGAAAATACTACAGAGAATACTTATGCAAGTGAGGAAGGGGAATACAATGACATGGAACCAGAACTGACAAATAAACAACAAGAAAACTATAACACAACAATCATTAATAACAATAGTTCTGAAAACGAAAGTCAAAATATAATCATGGAAACACACCAAAGCCTTGAAAGAATCCAGGATGAACAAAATAGCGCGAGAAATGACCATCAAACCTGTGAATATGAAAACTTTCCTTACCCTGATGAAGAACCCTTTACAATTCAACCTTTAAATAATGAACAAATCAACATTACTCGTGATCTACAGAATAAGGACCAAGAACTTGTAACTTTAGTAGACCTAGGAATAGCCAATGATGACATCCATGACAAAAACCTACCATCTTGTTCAATAACAAAACTTAAAGATTTCTTAGCAATGCCTTCAGAACCAACCAGAAAAGGGAAACGTAACATTGAGAGACTACCTTACCACATATCAGGACCAGAATACCAAAAGATTTTAGAAGAAAAATCCAAGGAAAAGAATAGACTAGAGGAAGAAAAGAAGGCAAAGAAAGTGATTAGAGAGCAAAAAAAAGAAGAAAGAAAGAGGAAACTAGAGGAAATAAAGACGAAAAAGTTGGAAAAGTCTAGAAAAATTGAGTCTATTTCTTGCTGTGGTGTGTGTAAAAGAGTGGTAAAGAGCATAAAATTGAGATGTTGTGAATGTCAGAAAGCATATCATAAATTGTGTATTCCTAAATCACACCTTATGCATATACCTCAGGAGGAAGGTGACAATTTCTTATGCCATAACTGCTTTTGCACGGAAAATGATGATAGTATTTCTGCAAACGAGGAGAATGAAAGTGACGAAGAAAATCGGGAATTTTTAAATATAATAAGATCAGGACAAAAAGAATTAGGTTTGAGCTGCGTAAAATTTTAATTTAGATAAAAAAGAGTCAATAATTTACTAAGATTTCATAATTAAATTGTTTGGCTAATTACTGTGTCTTGATATGATAATTACTGTGATTTCATGGCCAATTGCTATATTTCCTAAGTGATTGAATTTAATTGAGATTTTTCACCAATAAATATGTGATTTAATTCAATTTTTTTTATTACCCATGACCCCATCCCATTCTCTTTTATTTGGTATGTGATAACTGTATGTGACTTTATTAACATGTTTTTTATTGATGTCAGAAAATAAATTTAACGTTAAGTGGCCAATAACTACAGCATTCACCCTACCCAAAAAAAAAAAAAGTATTTCAACCCTTTTAATTAGTAAAATAGTACATACGACGAATATGAATTCTTTGCATCATATTTTCGAACCAGTGCTAAAAGCAGAAATGACTAATCTATTCTATTTCATTATATGCGACCTTTAATAACGCTACCTATAACAGGGAGAGATGAGAATGTTTAATAATAAATTAAAACTTTATAAGACTTTGTAACTTTTATCGTATTCAGTGATAAAAATGTCATCGTTGCCATAACAACTTTTATAAATAAGCTTTAAACGTTTATCCCTGTTGTAACTAACACAATATATAACACATTAAAATTAATATTTAAATACGATAGCTAAAATATAAAATTATATACATATTGTTTATAATATAAGTTTGTCACCAAACGAGCACACAGTCCATCTGCTGGTAAGTAGGTGCTGTGACCTATAAAGATCTACATCTATCCTCGATTAAAAATTAAAGTGACGATGTGTTGTCACCCCTGAGGAGTAAGAATGCTTCGATACCAGTAAATAAGAGTCGCAGGTTCTTCTCAATATACGATCGACAGCATTATTTTGCTGCTATTTTACGCTGGTATTCTGTGAGAGCGTGGTCCTTTTACGGTCGAATCAATATAATCGTGCTGCAAGTATAAACATAGCTGCAGCGTGGCTCTACCATGTTATTGTGAGTATACTAACAATGCCAATAAATCTTTTTACTTTATTGTTGCTTTGCGTACAAGAAAGGATTAGAATTATTCTATATAATTTTAAATTAAAAATGTTGTACTGCAGACTTCAATATAAGTTATTAAGACTAACTCAAAAACTATTGGTCTGACCTTGATCAAATTCATATGGGACCACACGAGAAGTACCAGCTTTCAAATAAAAAATCATCGAAATCAGTTTAACCAGTAAAAAGTTATGAGGTAACACACATAAATACAGTCAAAATGAGTACAGTCTCCTTTTTGGAAGTCGGCAGATAAATGTGAGTAAATAGACTTTCTCTAAGCTAGTGCGATTTACCATTTATGACGACATGCCCACTAACTATCAAGATAAGTGAGATCGTAGGTGAAACATTTTTAAAGGTAACGAGGCGTTCCAGCTTAGTACCCTGGGGTAACTCATTAGCATTTTGATTCTTAATTTATGAGTATAGATAAAGATTTCTATGGGCCACAGTATCCACTTATCATTGGTACTGTGTGCTCGTTTGTTATTATAACTGTATATAGATAGACTCTATCAAATCGTTTTGAAGGTTTTGAAACCTTTTAAATGATTTGCTAGGCTTTAATGAATAGAAAATGAATTTTCTTTAAGGAAATTTAAAAATAAAAAGATTTTTATGCTTTGGGAGGAAGTTGTCCGAAGTCTTTCTCAAAAATTTCTAAAATCTACGTCTCTCATATGCTAAGAAGTAGATAATTAAAGATGTCTTTGTTATAAAAAATCTGATATGAAACAATAGTAATATATTATAGTTTTGCATGAACGCTTATTAAAGTGCAGTAGATGTAACATTCATAAATCGCTAATGCACAAAGCAGTCACAGCCAAAGTTTTCAAGAAAGCTAGAACTAGGTGCCACAAAGTTCTCTTCATAGTTCACTGTGATGAAAGTACGCTCCGCTGAATTCGACTTTAGTTTTATTGAGCGAGTAGTAGTTGTTTAACCTTAAAAAAATAACGTGCGTTGTTTTTATAAAACCGAGCCGAGCTGAGCACTTGCTAAATTAGCACTTAAAATAACAATTAACAATTTCATTGGTGCCGACTGTGATCAAACCTGGATTGATCGTTATATGAAAATTACAGGGAGCGTTTATCCCCTCATCTATAATCTGATGTTGTGTATGTTCCAATTTTTTTTTTGTATTTTTTTAGACTGGCCTTAAGTTCTAATGTAAACATATGCTTCAAGGTTATCCATTCTTCACCGGACAACCTGTGTATGTAGTTGGTTCGGGTATTTGTAGATGTACTCCAAATTGTAGTAACTTGGATATGTCGAACGAATATGTATCCGCGTGTACCGCAGCACCATTGATAACATTCATTTGTATAATTTCCTTGTAGCGGGCCGATTAAATTTGTTACATTACGTTCGTAAAAAAAAAAACAAATAATGTAATTGTTTTTTTTTGATTTCAGGTGAACAAAACGAGTAGCGATTTTGTAAGTACAGTGCAATGTATTTTATTTTTTCTATACTAAACTTATACGCTGGGGATCGGCCTTCTTTTTTATGTCAAAAGCATTTCTTAATTTACGCTTTTTATTTAATTAATAGCTTATGTTCACACCTAAGACCAACAAAGAAAGGTAGACGGAGTGTTATGTACATTTCAGGTGACGGTAAAACATTGATAAACTCCTTGGCATGCACACATCTTAATTATTTATTTCTTTAACAGTCCGTGAAAGTACACCGATGGATGCCCGCATACGCACCCAAAATTATTTTAGATGATATGCGTGTGCGTGTGTGTGTCTCACTGTGTACTTATAATAAGTTGAGCGTGATTTTCGGTTGCGGCGTCATTTGAATTGTACGCAGCGCTCTGTCTTTCTTTCTTTCTTTTGTTGGACTTAGTAACACGTGGACCATGACATAAAATTTGAAAAAGGAACACGTAAAAGAGACTTTTTTACCAGACAACCCCAGAATGATGTTAAGTTCTCCCGATAATATTAAGTACCTATCTATTTAGTATTTGTTATAGTTGTTTTAATTAATTCATATCTAATTTTCTTTATTCTTTTTACGCGACGTCATATTTCACCACAACCGGAACTGGAAGAGAAAGCTAAAAAGGCATTGCGTCCTTTGTAACCCTTTTAATTAAGGTGATAACAATCAGGTGTAAATAAGCAAACAGAGAAAGAAAAAAGTTTTTTGTTGTGTATGTACCTATATCAATTTATTTGGCATGGTTTGTAGTCTAAACTGCTTGATGAATTTTAACATAATATTATTATGAGGTGTCGTTGGATTTGTCACAGTTTTAGGATAGGAATTATATAGGATATCAAAATTTAAATATGGCGCCTGCAAAGCAAAATAGAAGGGGGATACAAATATCTTTTGATGCGATAACAATTTTATATAAATTCAAATATATATATAACAACCCGCTACGCCAACCCGCTCGCCAAGCGTGGCAACTATGGCAAATACCCCCCACGATGAAAGTTACGAAGAGACGGTCCCCAGTCCCCGGCGGCCCCGCTATTCCTGGCTACGGTGGCGACCATGGCAACGGCGGGGCAGGGGGTGCTAAGAATCTCCGGTGGAGGTTCGGTTGCCACCTACGACGACTCGACCTGGCAACATACAACGCACGCACCCTGAGGACTGACGAGAAGATTGTGGAGCTGAAAGAAGAGAAGTTACGCTGGCATATTATAGGATTATCCGAAGTCCGAAGAGAGGGGGAGGACACGGTAATCCTCGAATCCGGCAACTTGCTCTATTACCGGGAGGGCGACCATCTGTCCCAAGGAGGTGTCGGATTTATCGTCCACAAGTCTCTCGTTAACAACGTTGTAAAGATTGAGAGTGTGTCGACGAGGGTTGCGTACCTTATACTCAGAATCACCAAACGGTATTCGCTGAAGGTCATACAGGTTTACGCACCAACCTCGGCACACCCCGATCAGGAGGTGGAGGAAATGTATGAGGATATCTCTAGAGCCATGCATTCCTCCAAAACCCAATATACGGTGTTAATGGGAGACTTCAATGCAAAACTAGGCACAAGAGAGAACGGTGAGCTGAAAGTGGGAAAATTTGGAATAGGGCAACGGAACCCAAGGGCCCAGCAGCTGGCCGACTTCATGGAGAAAGAGGGACTCTTTATGATGAACTTTTTCTTCCAGAAGCGGCCCCACAGGAAGTGGACCTGGTCGAGCCCCGACGGTTCGACAAAAAATGAGATTGACTTCATTATGACGACCAGACGACAACTGTTCAGTGATGTCTCAGTGATCGCGAGGGTGAAAACCGGCAGCGATCACCGAATGGTTAAAGGCACACTGAACCTAAACGTTAAACTGGAGAGGTCTCGTCTAATGAAGTCAACGCTCCGTCCCCCTCGTGCTCTAATCCAAAGTCCCGAAACCTTTCAGCTTGAGTTACAAAACCGTTTTCAGTGCCTAGTAGACTGCAATGAAGTGGACGATTTGAATGACAAGCTCGTGGAAACTGTCCATGCGGTCGGAGCTAAGTTCTGCAAGACCCGCCGCAGAAGAACACAAAAACTCTCCGATCACACTCTTAATCTCATGGCTGTTAGGCGGGAGATGAAGCTACATTCTTCAACAGATTTGACAGAATACAGGCAACTGAACAGACAGATCTCCAAATGCATGCGGCGGGACTTACGCAACTTCAATACATCTCGTATTGAAGAAGCGATCGAGCGGAACCAAGGCTCCAAAGTCTTTGCCAGAGATCTGTCTGCCAGAAAGAGCCATCTGTCAAAGCTGAAGACCGAATATGGCAGCATCGTTTTCGGGGCACCTGAGATTTTGAGTGAGATTGAGAGGTTCTATGGGCAGCTGTACACGTCATCGTTGGAGCCGCACGCAAGTGTGTGTAACGATCCAAGAGCGAGTCTTATCCGACATTATTCCGATGATATCCCGGACGTCAGTCTGAGCGAGATCAGAATGGCTCTCCA